TAGAATGGAACATTTAGTAAGGAGATAGTATATATATATATATATATATATATATATATATACACATACACGTACAGAGCTTCAAAAACAGACTCCAAGGAGAAACTGCTGAACTTGAATTAATATGCAAACTAGATACCATCAGTTTAGGCTTGAATAGAGACTGGGAATGGCTGAGCCATTACACACATTGAATCTATTTCTCCATGTTAAGTATCCTCACACCTTCTTGTCATTATCACTACAAAAGTTTTATTTTTCCTCCTACTGATAATTGCTCATCTTAATTAATTAGCCTTTTAGAGTTGGTAGGGCAACTCCCACCTTTTCATGTTCTCTGTATGTGTATATATATCTCCTGTTCTTTGAGTAATGTATCTGTTATGTATTTGTACTTGGAAGTGTCTAATTTTAATTTCAGAAATAAATCCGGGCCTGCTATCACACACAAATGATGAACTTTGTATGTTTTAGCTAAAATTTGATTTTTTACTTGAAAAGCAGGATCCAATAACCTATTATTATCTATACCTGCATTATTGCTCTGATGACCTTTGCACCCTACATATATCTTTTATTGTTGGTGAAATTTGTACCTTAATTTCCTGTATTAAGGCATGATGATCACAATTCCAGAGTTAAGTCTGAGTCAGACATTTTCAGTTTAGCAGGAGTTTTAAACCTCTGTTTTGTAAAAATCTCATCAAAATGGCAAAGAAACAACAACCCAAACTGAAACTTTGAGCAGAACTATTTGCATTTTTTGGTGGTTTGATGAAAAATGAATTGATGCAGAGCGAATAATAAAGAGTTCAAAAATTAGCCATTTGGCAATTTGTCATCGTATATCTCACTTTTCTTTAACTATCAAGCTAGCACAAGCAAAAATAGCAGTGTAGCTGCACAAGTAGCAGCAGTGGAGGCATGGTTCAGCCATGCCAAGTACAAACTTGCCTGAAAGTGTCTCTCTTCAGTCCATCATTTTCAGTGTCTAGAAAATTTACGTGCACTAAATGCCTCAATACATGTAGGTGAAACAAGACAATCATGATACTCTTGAATGAACTCACACAGGAAAATGATAAAAGACAAAAAAGCCCTGTATCTGACCTATCAGGCCTCATTCTCAAAGGAAACCTGCACAACACTTTCAAAAGACAATTCTGGGAGCTTAAATTCATAACTTTACCAGGGCTTATTACAACAATTTATAACCCACTAACAAACACACATGCTCAAACTGCCTTTTCCACCACTCCCTTCCTTTCCCCCTATGACAGGAGGGGTGTTAATGGGTCATTTCACCTCGAATGGTACCTTGAAATGTGTTAACTACTTATGATAAACAATCTGTTCCACCTTGTATTTAGCTGTGACATTCTGAGTACATTTCCCAGACCTGAAGAAGTGCTCTGTGTAAGCTGAAAATTTGTCTCTCTCACCAACACAAGTTGATCCAATGAAAGGTATTACCTCACCCACCTTGTCTCTATAACCTAGCCAGTAGTTAATTATTCACTAGATACTATAGGACCTGAAAACAATTTTCTAGGAAGGAGAGAAAGTCAGGGTAGAGACGGTTGTTTGATTTGAAAACAGAACAAGAGATCCTAAATCATCCAAACTGCAAATGTAAGTCTGAACAAAATTTTTGTGTTTCATATTAAAGTTCTATGTATTTTCTACCTGAGGTTTGCACTAATGCTTAAAAAGTATTTTCAGGGGGTATCCTTTCATTTCTGCCCTTTGCTCTGACCATTTTCTGTCTGTGGTACGTTCAGCCTAGCATAAGTTCCTCTCTCCTAGATATTTCAGAATTAAGTAGAAAGAAGGTCATTTTTAAAGATCCTTGATACATGAATGGTCAGGTTTCTTACAGTACTTATTATTATAAGCTGTCATTAATTTACACATGTTCTGTCTCCATCCTTGATAGTTGTTAACCTGAAATACTTTACAGTGTAACCCTGCTGGGCAGATCGATTTAAGGAGGCATTTAAGAGTTAAGCAGTGACATCTGCCTTTTTATTAATATATTTTATTTATTATTATTATTTTCCATCTGAAAAAGCAACTGAGTCATTCAACCTCAAAGACTTTATCTTTGACCATTATAACAAATTCAGTTTAGGGAACATCTAATACCTTAATTGATATAAAGATAAAGGCTTAAATTTCTATAAGTTACTAGTGATTTTTAGTGCCTAATATGAGACACTGATTTTCAGATGGGGAGTGCTAAACACTTTCTCAAAGTCATGCCCCTTTAAAGTGTCTCAGATTGGGTGCCCAAAAACAGAAGCACCAAAAGTCACTACTCACTTAACTTAGTTTGTAACATGCATGCGTGGCAAAACTCTCATATATCCAGCAACTGGAATTTAAAATACAGGTTGTGTGGTAATCACTATTTTGTTCCAATGAATTGTATTTTGCAAATACATTTTTAAATACTCCCTAGCTCTTTATTAAAATTTCTCCATCATTTTGTTCTTTGTGAAGAAAATTCATAAAGGGGCCTGCTGGGGAGAAAGGGGGGAAGAATATATATTAAAAACATTTACAGGGAGCAATAAAAAAACACATTGCATTTTCTATAAGAGTGTGAATAGGTGTTCAGGCTTTTAACTTGTTTACTAGTCCAAAGGTCTTGGAGATTAAAGCAATAAAACAAACGGGCCTTTTAATT